CTCCTCTTCCCGGCAGGCGATTGGGCCCTAAAAAAAAAAAAAAAAAAAAAAAAAAAAAAAAACCTCTCCAAAGAGAGATTTTTGCTATAGGGCATGTGCACTTGCTGGAAAGACAGAGAGACAGAAAGCGAGAAATCACCCCCCAGGGTGGATGACCCTGCTACAATCCCTTCTCCTCCATTCTCCTCTCAGGATCTTGGACATGCACGTCCAGGTGCCTGGTGTGAGTTTTAAGTCACCAAGTCCAGGACTCGAACAGTAGTCGACTACGTGGGAGGCCAGCGATGTAACCATTATGCCATCTGCTGATCCTGTACCACAATATTTTTATCTTAGGATCGTGGGGTGTTTTTGCCTCCCCCCACATTTATTTCATTCTTTTTTTAAAAAATTGCCATAGGGCACATGCACTAGCTACAGAGAGGCAAAGAGTTAGAGAGAGAGAAGACACCCCTCAAACAGGCCATGATCATGCCTCAATCCTTTCTGCATTTCTCCAACCTGTTAGGATTTGGGGCCTGCAATCACACACATGCAACTAGCATGTTTTCCAAGCTGCCAGAGCTAGGATTCAAACCCGCAGCCAGCCACGTGGGATCTGGCTCCCATAACCACTAGTGCAGGGTCACTATTTATTGGCTGCCGCACCCATTTGTGTATATATGATCTACGGTTGCTCTCATACCACAGTAGCAGAACTGAGCAGTGGTGACAGTGATTATACGGCCCACACAGCCTGAAATACTTACTCTATCCCTTTACAGGAAAACGTTTACCAGCCCAGACAACAAAGCAGAAGGAATCTGGGTTTCTGAGTGACCTCACGGAGCAGAGCAGCCCACGGGCCCTGGACCACCCGTCCACTTTAGGAAGGCTATGGGAGACCAATGTTTTATCATCTCTTTGTTACGGAAATGTAGTTACTGGGCATGTTCATCATACCTGTACATCATCCGTCATACGTGTACACCTCACATACATGTACATCATACACGCTCAATCACTATTGGCTGTACAAGTGAGTAAATGATAGTAGAACTTCTAGTCCTGTTCATCCTTCCTACTGTGTGATCTTGAGCTAGGCACCTGGACCTCAGGCTCTTATTAAACCTCATTAGTTTCTACAAGGAGTAAAAAGGGAAAGTGTTTTAGAAATTATTATCAGGAGGGACCAGTGGTGTAACGACAAAGGCTAGGTCCCTTAAACTGCAATTTTCGGGATCAGCAGATAGCGTAAAGGTTATGTCACTAGACTCCCACATAATTGATTGCAGTTCAAGTCCTGGACCCAGTGGCTTTAAAACTCATGCCAAGCGCGTGTGCATGCATGCCCAAAATCCAGAGAGGAGAATGAAGGAGAAGGGATTGCAACAGGGTGATTTCTTTCTCTCTCCAGTGAACTCATGCACCCTATAGCAAAAATTTCTCTTAAAAAACAAACAAACAAACAAAAACCTCCACGATTTTCATCTAGGGCCAATTACTTCACTATTCTGCTAAGTCAGGTTAAAGAGCAGAAACAAAACACTAGTATAAAGAACCTTTTTCCTGGGGCTGGCAGTTGGTGTGATGGTTAAGGATGCTAGACTCCCACATGGCCGACCATGGTTTGAGTCCCGGACCTACAGGCTTGTTTTCTCACTTTCCTTCTCTCTTCCTCACTCTGTCCCTCTGTGCTCAAATTAAAATTAATAAAGTTAAATAAAATAATTCTTAAAAAAAAAAGTCTTTTTCCTGAAGAATGATGGGTGGTAGAGTGCACAAGGGCCAGGAATACTTACTGAGCTGTCCAGGGTTCTGACCCCTTAGCTTGGGGACACTTGAACCTCAGCCCAGGGTTCAGGTGCCAGGTAGGTCCTGCTTGGAGCTACAGGGACTAAGGACAAGATTTTCATCTTCCTGCCTCTCAGCCTCCTGCCTCCCCACACTGAGGTGCGATACTTGCCAGCTGACAGCCAGTAAAGGCTTGAAGGTGGTGGAAACTGCTCTGTGTTTCTTTCTTTTTTTTTCTTTTTTTTAGTTTTGCTATAGGGTGCATAGAATTCTGAGAGAGGGAGAAAGTGAGAAATCACCCCTGAGAAGTGCTGGCCACAGCACAATCTCTTCTCCATTCTCCTCTCAGATTTTGGACCTGTGCATGTGTGCGCACACACACGGTGTGACTTGCAAGCTGCTGGATCCAGGACTTAAAACAGTGGAGAGGCCATGTGGGATCCAGTGCCTCAACGTCCACACCACCTGCGGGCCCCAGTGCTCTGTGTTTCTAAGTCAGGCTGGTCTGCTTCTTGGGATGGGTCTGCCATTGTCTTTTTGTGTGTGTGTGTGTGTTTTTTTTTTTTTTTTGGGAGGTTTTTTCTTTAGGGGGCGTGGGC